CGGGACACGAGGTTCCTTATGTTCTTCCATTCCCTTTCTCTAGCCGGGTCTGTATGGGTCCGGAAGCAGAAGCAGCTCGAGCCCACATATCAAGCAGGTAACCCCCAGCCGGCCTCAGATGTAGACGGTCGGTCGCTCGATCCCGCTCTGAAGGAAGACATGGTCGGCCTGGCGAGGATGCTGAGGTATTTCAGACGAAGGATCGAACAGTGGCAGGCTGTTTCGGATGTGAACTATCTGGCGTGGTCTAAGATGCTCGGTGCCCAGATCGCAGAGATGGAAGGTCATCAAGCCGAGGCTCTACGTCTCTATCAAGAAGCTTTAGATCATGCTTCTACCCATGGTTTTATTTTTGAAGAGGCCTTGGTCCATCATCTGTTGGCTGGCCATCTGATACGCGAGGGCTCTTCCCGACTAGGCACTCTTGCTCTGAAAGAGGCAGTTACTCTTTATCGGCGGATGGGAGCCACCGGGGTGGCCGATCATATCCTGCAGTCGCATGATCTGCAACAAAGGGTAAAGAACGCACGAGAGGCGGCTACTCAAACTGACGCGGAAGAAATGACCGTACCGACTAGACCACGAGTGACCACTACCAACAGCGATGACACCTCCAGCATTGAAGATGCCGTGGCGGACCGTGCCCTCCACATATTGGATCTCACCTCCATCCTGGAAGCGTCACAGGTGATTTCCAGCGTTCTGCGGGTGGATGAGCTGCTCCGTACCATGTGCAAGATCATCATGCAAAGCTGCCATGGTGTCGCTACCCTAGCAGCCATTGTCACCAACGAGGAGGAGAAGGTCGGGTGGGCAGTGGCGGCCAGTGGGAATGCGGCCGGACATATCAAAGTACATAATCCTCCCACACCGATCCGCCACTCCAATCTTGTGGCCGAGAGCATTGTCAACTACTGCGTACGCTTCCGCGAAGCGGCGTATTTGCCGGATGTCCTGCAGGATCCGCGGTTTAGCCACGTTAGTGAAACCTGGGTCGCGCAGAACCCGGTCAGCAAATCTGTCTTGGCCTTGCCCATTTCACCCGGCGGCAATGAGAGTGGACCCAACGTGGTGCTGTATCTGGAAGGTCCACCGAACGCCTTCTCATATCGCACGCGGGTCGTTTTGCAGTTGCTCGTCGTGCAGCTCGGAATCAGTTATTCCAATGCGTTGACACTCCAGAAAGTCGAACGCGTGTCCGCGATCAATCAATCCATGGTTGAGGCGCAGAAGAAGGCCCTGGCGGAAGCTATGGCGGCCGAGCAGAAGGCAAATGTGGCCAAGGCGGAGGCCCTGCATCACGCCAAACTGGCCGAGGAGGCAGCTAAAGCCAAGAGCAGCTTCCTCGCCAATATCTCTCATGAGCTACGGACCCCTCTGAACGGAGTCATTGGCAACTCCGAACTCCTACTCAGCAGTCCACTTCCCGAGGCGCAGTTGGAAATGGCCGAGTCGATCCGCATGTCGGCGAACCTGCTCCTGGCCGTGATTAATGACATCCTCGACTTCTCCAAAGTTGAGGCGAACAAGATGCAGTTGCACATTGTTCCATTCGACGTCGAGAGAATGGTAATGGAAGTCGTTCGCTCGATCCCGACCGACTTCAAGAACAGGCCAAGGTCGAGCGATGTCCACATTGTGCACGACATTCAGCTCCAGGATACCCGTCACGTGTGCGGTGATCCGGTGCGCCTGCGGCAGATCCTAGGAAACCTGGTAGGGAACAGTCTGAAATTTACAGAAAAGGGGTCCATCACTGTCGGAGCGCGCGCGGAAAATGAAACCGAGGACTCTGTCCGTCTTTCCTTCTGGGTGGCCGACACGGGGATTGGCATCCCCGCCGCACTCATCCCCCGGCTGTTCAGACCCTTCACACAAGCTGATGCCAGTACCGCGCGTCGGTTTGGAGGTACCGGACTAGGCCTCAGTATCTGCAAACTTCTGGTGGAATTGATGGGTGGCACGGTCGACCTCAAAAGCACCGAGCATGTCGGAACGACCGTTTCGTTTGCAGTCACATTACCCAAGCTGGTCCCGGGAGATTCAGGACGCACTACACCGACATGGTCCAGCGACGGCAGCCAGGAAACGACCGACCAACAGCCGCACTTGGAATTGCTAGATTTATCCAACATCCACCTTGACGACCTCCGCGTTTGCATCGCAGAGGACAACCTCATCAACCAGAAGATCACCGTCCAGTTTCTCAAAAAACTAGGCTTTACCCAGGTAGACACCTACAACAACGGCCTCGAAGCCGTAGAGGGCATCCAGAAGCAAGCCAGCCGGGACCAACCGTATCACATGATCCTGATGGATGTTCAGATGCCCGTCATGGACGGGTATGACGCCACGCGGCGTCTGCGTCAGCATCCTATGGACGCTGTCAGGCGGATACTCATTATCGCGCTTACAGCGTCGGCGATCCAGGGAGATCAGGAGCGGTGTTTGGCGTCGGGGATGAATGATTACCTGGCGAAGCCAGTCCTGCTGGGGGCTTTGAAAAAGAAATTCAGTAAGTATTTGAGGATGCTATGAAGTCGATGAGGCTTTATATATTCGATATGGCCTGGTTACGGAATGTTTGCGCTATGTTGCTTTTTGATAATACCCGCGTGGTTTGTTCCCCTACAAAATATATCTTATACCCACCCCATTATATATCATAGACCAAGACCTAGAATTATAACAAAGTAGTATCCATATTCTGGATATACTCTTCACGCCTTATCACCAAATGTAATAAGATGTTCATGTCTTGAGCGTCAGGACCATATATATCCAGAAATGAATCCACAATGTGGAGCGACCCTAGATGGAATACATCACCATCAAGTCATCCGAACAGCCCAAAAGTCTCGACATGAGCAGTGCAGATCGGATCATCATTGGACCTTCCCAGACTGAAGTGTTTACCCCGCCGGCTGGGAGAGGATCAGCTGGGATTGCAGCATCACTCGAACCAGTGGACCATAGGGGTGATGGTCCATGAGGATGGCTAAAACACGTCATTGGTCACTGAGGATTTTCTACTCCGATAGGGGCGCTATCTAAGTCGTAGCCTAAGGGATCTCCATTGAAGCTGAACATTGTCGTGCACAGGAAATTGCTAGTTCGTCTTGATAAGTCCTGGGATCTAACCCTAAGCTGATGTGATCGACATGATCGGCAATACCGTGTCCGGTGGCTGACTACCGTGTCCGGTGGCTGGCTCAGCCAACTCATGTCGAACAGTCCAACGCATAAATAAGAACAAAGATACTGGCTATCCCCGTCATGCCATTCATTGCATCCTCACCTGTCGCATACTGGGGCTATGGCAGATACACCACGACGCCAGATTGTCCTGTGTTTCGATGGCACAGGAAACACATTCCGTGCTGATGGCACAGAGACGAATATCCTCAAGATTTGTCGAATGTTGGAACGAACGGATGAGCAATGTCAGTGTTCTCCTTTTTGTGTTTTTCATTTCATGAAAATGAAACCATTTGTCTGACCTGAATTTCAATCCTAATTAGTGTGCTACTATCAACGTACGACCGCGCCCTCCCCCATAACAATCTAAACTAACACATTCAGCGGGCATTGGCACCGAGATAACGCCTGGCTCCCTCGCAGCCATGACGCTAAAGAAGAGCAGCCGCCTGGGCAAGAGCAAAACACTGAGCCAGGCGCTGGGAAAGTCATTCGACCAGCACGTCCTCGGCGGTTACCGCTTCCTTATGCGTCACTACCGAACAGGGGCCGAGATCTACATTTTCGGTTTCTCTCGCGGCGCTTATACAGCTCTTTTCCTAGCCAACATACTGGATTACGCCGGTCTGCTGGGCCCGGACAACGAAGAGATGATCCCTTTTATCTGGGATGCGTTTTCGAAGTGGAAGCTGGCCCGATATCTAGGGACTGATCAGCGGAGAGAAGCGTATGACTTTCTCCGTCACTGTCGGGAAACACTATGCCGCCCAGTTGTCAGAGCTCGCTTCGTGGGCTTGTTTGACACCGTCAACAGCATTGCAGACTTTGAGATCTTTAATGATATGAGTTCCTCCGCCGTGATAACGCGGCATGCGGTGAGTATCGACGAACGCAGATCGAAATTTGAACCGGTTCTGTTGCGCCCTAGGAAATCAGACAAGGCTCCAGCGGTCCGTCACCACCGGCGTACGAAGGATTCCCCTCCCGCAGAGGCTCCGGGAGAAGTCTCAAATTCAGCGGATGATCCTGCTGCAGCTGATGTCACTAATGTGGCTGAGAACGAGGACGACGATGTAACTTTTTGCGACGTGGAAGAGGTGTGGTTCCCTGGGGGCCATGCAGACATCGGCGGGGGATACCAGCGCGCGCCAACAGAGAAGAAATACCAGCTCAGCCATGCGCCGCTGGTCTGGATGGTCCAAGAAGCATCTCGGTGCGGACTGCGGTTCGATCCGTACAAGCTCAGAAGCGAAGGGTGCCTCCCCGATCCGGAATCGCCCGATGTGTTCTACAAAGATCTTGATGATTCCATCACGACAGGCCAGCTTCATGATCGTCTTGAGTTCGGCCCAGGGATGTCCATCACCTCCGTGCTGGCGTGGCGAATCATGGAGTATCTGCCAATTCGCCGGGCGGACATACAGCCGAATGGGTCGTGGAAACCCATCCACTGGCCGCTGCATCGCGGGTGGTGTCGGGACATGGCGCTTAATGATGTGGTCCATGTCTCTGCTTTCCGTCGGATGGAGGCAAACCCCGCTTATCGTCCGGTCAGCCTCCTAGCTGGAGGTTGGAAGAATGTTCGAAAAACACCTGCAGAATTTGGGCGCGGCGAATTTGTGATCCATGAGCATGAAGGGGATCCCGTGCGACAGACATATCTCAGAAAAAAGCCTATAGTGCCAGGCAAGACGGAATAATGGTATGCTCTCAATACCACATTTTGGCTTAAGCATTTGCTGCGTCTTCTTTCGACCATAATTTCTGTGACAGCAAACCTAAATACGTACTGATTAACTCCATCAACCCCGACTAGCCACCCACAGTTCTTTAAACCGACTCCCTTCTTCTCCAACTAACAACTGCGGCTCTCCCTTCTCAACCATACAGCCCTTGTCCATAACCACAACCGTATCAAAATCCATGACTGTCTCCAAGCGATGACTGACCATCACAATGGTATATCCTTGAAACTCCTCTCCAATAATGCGGTGCATATCGCGGTCGGTACTCAGATCGACACCAGAACTAACCTCGTCCAGAAGTAGGATTCCCTTCCCACTCTCAGGACTGTCGCGCTCACGAATCCTTCGCCGGAGAATTGCCCGCGCTAGACTGAAAAGCTGCTTCTGACCTTGTGATAGCGTTTCAGGAGCAAATGGTCCATATAGGCCCCCGCGCTCGGTCACGAATGGCCATAGGCCTACAGTTTTGAGGACATCTTGACACTCGCCGTCGGTTGAGACACCAAATGGATCGAGGTTGGATTTGACCGCCGTGCCGTCAGGAAGGAACACTGTGTCCTGGGGGATGGCGATTATTCTCTGACGCAAGACCATGCGGTCAATTTTGTGGAGAGGTATATCATCAATGGTGATGTTTTCGGCACACATCGGGAGAGGGTCCAAAAGGCGGAGGAGAAGGAGGATTGTAGAGGATTTACCACTTTTAAATTGTGGAAGTTAGTTTAAACTTCTGGGAGAATGTAGTGTTTGTCCAAGTCACCTACCTTCCTGTCCTACCACAGATGGCAACTCTTTCCCCCGGTCGAATGGTGAGGGTGAGATTGCTTACAGCTAGGGTGCCTGTGTCATCTTCGCTCTCGCTGTATTCGCCAGCGCGGTTAACATATACACACAGTTTATAGGGCAGCGGATGACGTACCCGTAAGACGCTGATACCCCATCAATATGAATAAATCCTCTATTAGGCCACTCCAAAGGAGGAATGAGATCTTCCTCCGGCGAGCCCTCAGGCTTTACTTCGTCACTGAAATGTTTTAGCCGGCTGATGGCACCGATCGACGTCTCCAGCTGTGTGAAAAATCGAATGACGTAGTTCAGAATATCGCCGAGGGTCATCAGCGTCACCAAGCTAGCACCAGTCAGACCTGCGCGAGATCCGAGCTGCGTAGACAATGTCACGACCATGATTGCCAGGAGGGCAACCACTAGCTGAAGCGAGAATCCAAGCCATCGCTGAGTGATGGCCAGAAGATAGAATGGCCGTTGTGACGTATCAAGAAGTTCATTATTTGCGGCAATGCCAGCTGGGACCCAGCCAAAGGCACGGAATGTTGCTACACCATTCATAGTGTCAAGGAAGTGGGTGCTGGATCATTAGCGAAATCAATCTCGATGATGGAGTGTGTCTTTGCTCACTAAAGTGGACTTTTGCTCTCGAGGTCTAGGAGTCGAAGTTGACGCGCTGTTCGGAGGTAGAATTTCTGAATCCCGTACAGGATGGCGAAGATAAATGGGTACGAAATAAGGAGATATGGTGAAGATGTCGCTATGACGGCTGCCATGCCAGTAGCATTTGATATGTCCAGAGCAAGATTAGTGACCGCAATAGGGAGCTCGCTATCGACCAAAGTCATGTCTTGGGAGAACAAATTGGTGACCTGGCCGGTATCCGTAGTCGTGAAGAATTTTAGAGGCGCATTAATGACTGTGCCTAACGCTGCCTTGTGAAGCCGAGACCCAGATACCTGTACCATAGTTCGGAAGCATATTAGAAGGCACCCCAATAGACAACAAATATATGCAACCTGAAATAAGGCGTAGAGACCAATGTAGAACGAGCTATTATGTGATGGATGAGGTGAAGAGACATCGTTGGACCAATACTGCAGCCAAATTGTGCCCCAGTTGTAGAAAAAGCCCCAACCAAGTCCAAACACAATGAATACAACAATAAATCGCTTTCCAATACTCGCCAAATAATGACGATAGATTGCTGGGTCACCATGCATTCTCGCCTTTTTGTTCATGGAACTAGGAGTCTCGGTTCGAGTCGCCGTCTTAAACTCCGCTTTCGATCGTCCTAGGTCATCCTCCTCCTCAGTGGCCGTGTCGTCTATACACGCATTCTTCACATCCGAGAATTTTACCCCAAGGCTTTTGACGTATTTTGGGTTGGAAAATAGGCTCGAAAATGTGCCTTGCTCAACGACACAGCCATCTGCTCCCAAGGCCACTATGTGATCCGCTTGTGGTAGATGTCGAACAGAATGGGTACTTAAAACCGCCGTGGCACGCCTGCGACGCAATAGACCTCCGGGGCCAAACACGCGGTGGAAGACTTGCTCTTCCGTATCAGCATCAAGTCCCTTGAGCACATCATCAAATATGAGCAAGTTTGAATTAAGATATAGAGCTCGAGCCATCGATAATCGTTGCTTCTGCCCTCCACTCAAACTAATCCCATTACTGCCGATCACCGTTTCATCCCCTTTAGGGAGTGTGGACAGGTCCATCTTGAGCATGGTCGCGTCTATGACCTCTTTGTATCTTCTTTGGTTATAAGCAGCGAACCCAAGAATATTTGCTCGGATAGTAGTGTTAGACAGGTAGGGTGCCTGATCACAATATCCCACAGATTGAGACGATATCCCACCGTCGATCAGGACTTTCCCATGGTAGTAAGGCACCTCACCTAGCAAGACTTTGCATAGAGTAGACTTGCCTGACGCGACCGGTCCAACGACCATCGTGAGGTGAGACCTTGGGATGTGGAGGTCAACGTTCTTTAGGGCCATTTTGTCGGGCTCCCATCCAAAGCTTCCATTGAAGATGGTCATGACTGCGTCAAACTTTCCGGTTGGGCCCTCAGTCTTCCAATCCTTCTCCTCAATACCCGCTTCAAAAGGCAACCGGAAGTCCACCCGCGGTTCCTTCTCCAGAAACTCTTGAATTCTGTCGACGCAGGTAAGGGCCGCCAGAAGATTGGGAATGTTCTGAAATAGATACCCAAGGGGATCAGCCAATAGTAGAAGATAAGAGGCCGACGTAAATATTCTGCTAACGTCCAGGGTGCGAGCTGTGACTGCAAATGTTATCACGGGCGAGAGAGCCAGTGGTACGTAGCCCAGCGTGGCAACGATGACATAGACCAGTCGAAAGCGGGATGCAGCTTTCAGCTCGTCAGTCCGCATGTCTTGAATCAGCTCTTGCACTGGGCTAGAAAGCCCAGAGATCTTGAGATATTTCATATCCGAAATCACCTTCGCGGTGAGCCCCACTCTTTTCTGTATTTTTGCCATCCATGCCTTTTGTCTTGCACCAGTATACCGGTTCACAAATGCAGCAAGGACAACGCAGCAGAAAACTATGATCAAGGGTGCGACACACGCCGCCCCGATCTGACGCTCGACTAGCAAACTGGCAAGAGCAACTTCGATTGTGTTTGCCCAAAGTTCGTGGAGATTCAAGAAGCCCAGCCTGATTCTTTCAACGTCGGCACTCATCAAAGTCAAAGGTGCCGAGTCGCTTGTGGATGACAACTCTATCTCCGTCGTTTTCTTATATATAACTCCGGCTAAAGTTCCTCGGACCATGCAAAGGCTTCGCTCATGTAGATACCAGTATAATGCGCTTGAAAGAGCAATCCCCGTGTATATAAGAATTGTCGCACCAATCAAGCCGTAGCCTACATTTTTTGCATGATCTGAAGAGTCTGACTCAGATTCACGTAAGCGATCTAAGAGCGTGTGGATGAGAAACGGCTGGCAAAATCGGAATCCGACCCAAGCAAGTCTAGGGACGATTGGTAATAAAATAGGTACCATGAGAGCCTGGAATAAAGCTTTAAGAAGACTCGATTTCTGACCAATTGACTTTGAAGTCTGTATTCGATCCAATAGCCTCCTCTGCAAGATTTCCGTAGCCATGCTCTGGTCGAGTGGTAACAAGTCGTCCACGGTCAATACCTTTTTGAATCCAGACAGAAAGAGACTGTCTACCCAGATGAAGGCAGCGAGACCAAAAAGGCCACTGGTCTCCTCGGGACTATGTTCTTTCTGGTCCCACCGTGTCCATCTTGCCTTGCTCCGAGACTCGAGCAAAAGTAGACAGGCCTTTACCGCAACGGCCGCTGTCACCAGGCCAGTCACTCTTATGTCGGCAGGACTGGTCGAGGCAAGCCATAGGGTGCGTACGTGGGCTATGTCCAGTAGTATGGTGACAAGCAAATAGACATGGAGTAAGATCGACGGACGTGGAGACCGACTGTGTTCCAAGAAGGAGACGGCCACAACACTTAGACTGGACACGAGCTCCACAGCCACAGAGGATGTGAATAGCGCACCGGGGCTACCGTAACTCGCAACAGTTCCCAATATGGAGACCTGCAGCGCCGTGTACACCAGAGCGGTAGTCTATAAGACCAAGTTAATGTGTGGCCGGCTGTGGATGTCTGGTGGCAATCCATACCAATTTCGCACAGCGTAAAATGGGTCCTTGCACGATTCGCGGTCTCCAAGCGAGAAAAGCCACTCTTCCTAAAGCAGTAGCAATAAAGACAGAGGCGGGGACCAGTGAGAAGAAAATCCTTTCGAACGTAATTGTGAAGTCAAAGTCATCTCGGCACCCGTAAATGGTTGGCCCGAAGGAATTATCATTGGGGCACCCTGAAAAGAGCATTGTACACAACCCGCGGCCTGTAGCACCCAAAGCTCGGTGATTTCCGCAGTTCAAGACGATCAACAATGATTGTGAATGTGTTTGGTTCCAATATGAAGATATGAATAGGACCGATGGCAGCATTTCAGGCCTCCTCCCCAGCAGGGTTTGGCTCACCCCCTCATCTCCAGATGTAATATTGTGGGCTTTGCCGCAAAACCCGAAAATAGCGCCGCCGTGACAGGTCTTACTGTAGTTTGCAGTAGGTTCAATAGAGATTAACCACGTGCGTATCCCATTTACTCTTACCAAGATGTTTATGTTATGGAGAGCCTATCACTCTGATTTGTCATTTTTGGAGTATGCTGCAGAAATTTGATTTCCTGTTCCCTGGCCACATAATTTACTGAACTATTTCATTACACTGACTCATCATCTCTGAACGCTTCAAACTCAGTCCAATATTGGCAGGTCTCCAATCATTGGCTAGACCTGCAAGTTGTTTTGTCCAGGGCAAAGCAAACAAGCATTTGGAGTGAGTGGTTAAATTAAGCTGGGCCCTTCCATGCTCCTAGGTACGTCCGTTCCATATACCTTGGATCCAATGCCGAGTTGGGATTAAACCTACAATGCTTCATAAGTAAAATAATTACCTGGCCCTGGTACTAAGACCAAGCATCTAGCACCAGGCTGTGACATTCCCTGCGCTAGAGCCTGGAATAACCACGGCACGGGATCAGAACCAGCTGTCGACCACACTCCATATACCCAACCCTGACTGCGCCGCACACTAAAAGCAGAATGTTTCTGCGGCTTTTATAGTCACCAATCACCGCCAGCTCTCGTGATCTGTCTTCTCTTGAACATATTTCCCAGCTGGTCCGATCACCCAAGTCAATGATCTCTTTGGCTGGATCTTCCTGGGATCTGGGTTGATCTCTCGTAGATTCTCATACCGTCATCTGCAATCATTGTCGTTGGCTGGTATAAGGACCGGGTTGGACCCAAGTGGATTGCGTGTATCGGCTTTTTGCTATGTTTTTCACCATCAGTACTTCTTCAGCAAACCACGTATAACATGTATCCACTAAAATTGTCCTACTTTGTGCCGTTCTTGCAATCCTTCGATTGGGTGTCAACTTCAGCGCCATCCCGTTGTCAGCAGAGCAAGCGAAAGAGCCAGGGATTTACGGTGCTCGCGTGGTCTATGCGCAGTGGTACACGCTATTAAAAGCCGGCTTCGCTGCAGGGACTGTATGGTCAGGTGATCTAGCAACAGTGGCCGGATCGGAACTCTCCGATGGAGCTTAGGACTCATATGTGCTGTTGCTATGTGCGCACGGACGATGTATTCTCAAGGAACCCATGACACCCCTAACACCATATGTGGTGAAGTAATTTCCTTGCAATTTTTCTTAGTGTGTTGCAGGGATGGTGGTTTGGTATCATCATTTTTCAATTTTTCATGACGGAGTTGATGCACCTAAGCTATTTAATTGCACTATGGTTTCTTTGGGGCGATCCATCATGGAAAACGGGACGGAACAGCAGACCCCATTCGCAGGGGGTGTCTATCAGACTGCTGCCTGGGAGATTAGTCTTGTAGTCCCGGGAATTAATAGTTAGATGCAACTACAAATTTTTCTCAGTGATATCAGGCACAAAGATATATTTTATTACCTATCTCACCAGGAGTCTACGCGTCCAAGATTTGTGGTGGAGAAATAGCTATTAGCCATGAGGAAGATATACTGATATTCTTTATTTATCATACTGCACTCCAAAAACTACTATTGCTAAAGGACAGCTAGTCGAGCTTGAATAAGCAGAGTGATCAACTCATAATCAAGCTGTCACCCTGTGGCAGTTGCATAGCCATTCCAATCAAGCTGAGGTTGATCAGCCGAGGCGGTCAATCCGCCAAGACTAGGCCAGTCATGACAGACAACAAATCAGAAGTGGAACGGCCCGCCATTTCACGTGGTGCTCCGTAGACAGGCCAGCATTTCCCGCGGGAGATTTTAGGTAAATTAGGGAGAGCTTAGATAAAACGCCTGGTTTTTCCAGGCGTTCCATTAAGCTCCACCAGGCCCACTACAGTATCATCGCTTGGCAGCTCACGCAGCCGTAATAGAGGCGGCTGGCAGTCATATTTTTGCCACCCACCGGCGACTTTATCCTTTTGTAGCCGATAACTTTTCATAACAATAGGTGGCCTGATATATATGAATAAACATGGTCTTGGACTCCATAGCTAGCAAGATGGTAGGACCCGCGCTAGGGGATTGACTGAGCATCTTCCCTGACAGCCAACCCTCTAACAATGCATCAGATGGTGATAAAGTCCTGGCACTATAGGCAAGACCATTCTCATTACTATAACGATGTCAAAGCATGATTCCATCCCAAACGCCTTCAGGACCGTCTGAAATGATGTCTCTAGATGCTCAGCAGTGAAGTGTCAATAGTTCATACAACAAAGCACTTGCATGGAGCTCTGTTGGTCCGCAATGGAAATGGATTATTTCGGACAACTTGTGTTCCAGATGAATTATGTTCGGGGATGAGAATGACTCGCGCAGCCGATGCGGTCCATTCCAGTCGGCCGTTGGTGAATTGCGCAATGACATTGGTTACCGTTTTGCAGGGATCGTTTTGCTCCGGTGTCACTCTGACCCTGAGCCGTACTTTTGTACAACACTAATACCGAAAGGGTAATAGGTGCTCCTTGGTAACGATCCATGCCTAGTTCGCACCTCTGAGGTTATTCCATCCGCTGTGATCCAGAGGCCTTCCTTAGCCGTTTTCCTCTCGATCAAGGCCAGTCAAAGGACAATATCTAGCGCGATCAGTCCGCAGGGAGTATAAAACACAGCATAAAATCCAGAGACTGCAAAGACGAGTTGTCGCAGAAAAGGTGCAATATGGACAGCCATGCTAATCCAAAATATATATCCGGAATTTAACGGTGTCCATAACCATGGATAAGATGAATCATGGGCGCGGCATCACTCATCACTACTCCTCTCAAAGGATTCGAATCCTGTGCAATACTAGTTGGGATTATCTCGGCTTCTCCTATGATAGGGCGGGGCCTCATTCGGAGTACGCACCGTCCACCGGACATGGTTATATATCATAGGCATTATTACATTGAAGTCCTTGATTGAGTGAGCGAATAATCGAATGACACGAAGCCAACCCAGGAACACTAGCCCAAAGACAAGGGGCAGAACAGGATTCGGGAATGGAGGGTAGATTGTATCCTGACGGAGCCGACTGGGAATATCAGGAAACAGGGGCTGCGTCAAAAGGTCCCCATACTATTGTAGTGCTTACAGGTTGTGAAAATCAATGTGAGCATGAGTAGTTGGGAAGATGCTAGGCGGATATGAGTACTAGAGTGCGAGAAGATAAATATCCTGAATTCTTTAAAGAGACATGGGCTGGGAACGGGATTGAGCTCAAATCTCATCCTTCATCATCTTGCCTCATCCTTCACTACCATACATTTACTAAAATCATCAAAATGTCGCGCCAGAATGGTCAAATCAGCTACGACATCAACCTCCCTTACACAGAGTTGACAAAAGAGACGAGCCGAACCACAAAGTATGCCGAGTATTTACCAACTTGGGATAAAATGTGGTTTGATCCCCTTCCCCCCTTTGAGTATAACGATCCCGCTCTTCGTGTGAAGGATAAATCGTTGCCCAATCTGCTTGGGACCGACACCAAGGCCTCTGATATCCAGCCGTCGCTCGGCACTATTCTAGAGGGCGTGCAGCTTAACAAGCTTTCTGATGCTGCGAAGGATGAGTTGGCATATCTTGTTTCTCAGCGCAAGGTGGTTGCCTTACCGGACCAGGATCTAATTGATGATGGTCCTGGTGCCCAGGAAAATTTCATGCGATATTTTGGTAAACTCAACTACCAGCCTGTCTCAGGAACGGTCAAGGACCATCCAKGGTTCCACATCATCCACCGTGATGGAAATAAGAATGAGATAGCTCAATTCCTTGAGCGGAGGACCACCACAACCCTCTGGCATCAGGATGTTAGCTATGAGATTCAGCCGCCGGGATACGTGATGCTGGGACTGCTCGAGGGCCCGAAGGTGGGAGGAGACACCGTCTTTGCTAGTACGGATGCTGCTTACAAGTAATGCGTGCCCAAAATCCTACGTTACCAAAGAGATAAGTGCTGACAGTATGGACAGGCGACTATCCCCTACGTTCCGTGCTCTGATCGACAATCTTCAGGCTGTTCATTCGTCCAGCAAAATGATCAACCATGCCCGCGCTGCAGGAGGTTTGGTACGAAAGGATCCCGTTGACACTGTCCACCCACTAGTCCGAGTTCACCCTGTTACTGGAGAAAAATGCATTTTCATGAATGGAGAGTTCATTACAAGGGTAGTTGGCTTGAAAGACTCCGAGGCAAAGCTATTGCTGGAGTTTTTGCTGCAGCACATCACGACCGGCCATGATTTCCAGGCTCGTGTCCGCTGGAGCCCCAGAACGATTGTAATGTTCGACAATCGCTCAACAATTCGTGAGTCCCGTTCGCACTTCCGATCATTGACTGCCTGCTGACTCTTTAGATTCTGCGATTGTTGATTATATTGATGAAGAATATGGTGCCAAGCCACGACATATTTTCCGACTATGTGCAATGACCGAAAAGCCCATCCCAGCAAAGGGGCTGGATGAGCAGAGACTCTGATTTCCTCCAGAATCAAGTTACATATCCAGCTAGTGGTGCAGGTCTATCGCCAAGGGGTGGCGTGTCTGTCTTAGGCCAGAAGGTTTTGGGTTAGAAAATGGAAGCCTGATATTTCAGTACTATGTTAGTTTTAGGTTATTGTACCTTTTTTCTCTGACCGATTCAAAGTTTTGACATATGCTTGTTTTTATGGAAGAGGGGACTAAAAAAAAAAAAAAAAAAAAAAAAAAAAAAAAAAAAAAAAAATAATTATATCTGACATCTTCAGCAAATACGTTGAACGAGATCTTATTTATGAGGCCTTCATGCTGTAGGACAATACGCATACCACTCTCTCTTCTAATCTGTCTGCATTATTGATGTTCGCTTCTTCGAGCATCAACGCATCCGTTGTTGTTTTCGGGGAATAACCTGTTCTTAGTTCAGAACGCACTAGGGTGGATGGGATCTTCCGCCAACTCTTCTGTAGCGGCGCAGGATCTCCCAATGCAATGTTGGTGTGGCATTTCGGTTGACCGCTGTACTCATAGAAGCTACGAATTTTTAGCAATTGTATGGCTTCGATTGCCATCGTTCGCTGATGATGACCGCTTTCCCAACGGCCTACCGTGACAGGGTTATGCGTACTTTTACCAGCCGCACACGGTGGAAAGCGGAAGGGACTCGGAGATTACTGACGGAAAAGCTATAGAGTTCAGGCTACTCATTAGTTTCGCGGCTGGAGAGAGTGCGCTGATTCGCAGGTTCGGCTGCTAGGCGATGCCCATGTGGAGGTGCCATCCTTCGAAGAAAGAGTGGTCTCTTAGCCTAGGCTGGTAAGTTCAGACTCCAGACTACTGGTTGCTGACGGAACCTAGCCGGACGACCGACTCCAGACTGACGCCCAGGGGGACTGTGCGGCACTGTGCTAAGTGCGGGTTTGGAAAAAGGTACGTATTCCGTTTAAACCGCTTATGCAGATCAGTAAGGCGTGACATCCAAATTATGCGCCAAGACCTTGGACCAGGCACGTGAAAATTAACAAGGGTAGCCTTTGGAACCGAATGTAGCTGAGCACACTTGTTACATTCTGGTTTCGCTGTCGTGGATCCAAGCAAGTTATGTATAGACTTTACCGAGCATATGAAGCAATAGGAAAAAGAAAACAGAACTTGCGTTGCCACATATATGCGACAACATCTCCCCTTGCTACGCACGAGACAAGCATGTATTCTCAGCTATTTAACGCTGCTTTTAAGGACTCAGTTGACACACAGCACCGGAACCTTCAATCATCATGGACTATAGCCTCCTCACCTATTTCGCACAGGGGGTTATCCAACGACCTGGAGAGGATGATCCTCCAAATCCCAACCGATTCAGTCGAAACACGTCCGCCTTCACGTTCGGGATAAGCGATGGCCTGATCGAGTTAATCCACCAGGTGTCCTCTCTCCACACACGCTCGTGCAGATCATCTGGCTTGACTTCCACAATCATATCCGAATCTGTTGGAATTTGGCAAAATTTGGACAGATGGCAACCAAGATGCTCTCCTCCATCAAATAACCCCGAGTATATCTATTTGTATCAGTCCTACAACTCAGCGCTGTTCATATGGTTACACCTGGTCGTTCATCCGGACAATATTCACGACGACAAAGTCCAAACAGTAGTTCGGACGGGACTAGAGGAAATTGCAGCTGTCACTGCCACTGAGTTATTGCCACTTCTACAGATTCCGGTGTTTATGCATGGCTTAGCAAGTCTGCAGGCGCAAGATCGAAACAGAATCTCCAGGGAGTTCGAGAGAATCCGGTCTTCGGGGCGCTCTGTGGAGTTGAGCGCTTACCAGAGCGTGGTTCAGAGATGCTGGAGTGCTCAGGATAGAGGAACTAGAAGAAGCTGGGATTGGACTCGATGATGAGAAGATCGATCACGGCAGCCMAGGGTGTATTCTCTGTCTAAGACATGTTACTACCAACTTTCAATGTGCCCGGACTTCATGGAACTGGAAATGGTATTAGTGTCTTCTGGGCCCGATTCCGAAGTGGTTCAGGACCGCAAACAGAAATTGTGGTGTCAAATAGAAAATCTGATTGACTTACCCTATGATATAATCCAAAGTCGTATGTGGAATAAAAATGCCTCACTGCTCTCCAGAAAGTAGAGTCAAAGTTTAGCCCCAGTTCCGCAAAGGGCACAAAGGGCACGCGATCTATGAACGGTACAGGTTCTCCATGGTTGAATTGAATTAAAGTGGATGGCCCAGCAGCTGCGCAAAGCGCGCTTAAGATATTGATTGCTAGTATATTTATAGGCCGGTGCTCTGGCAAATAACCTGCTTTCCCCTCATACCTACCAGGGTGTTTTGACAGTAGAGTGACTAATGCTCGATTCTTATTCGGGCCCATGATTTGTTCTTACGTCTCTGTCTGAGGCCTTGGATCCTCCATGCTCATCAGCTGCCTTGGAAAATAATATCCCTGTATCTGACAGCGTCATGGCACTAATGGAACCGCCACTGTAGCTTGGAAATTGTTCAAAAATTTTGCTGGGTTAATGGCAACTTCATCAGGGAGCGTGGACAAAGAAGCGTGTTGGAGGACGCTGAGGTATTCGGTTGAATATCTGAGTGGCGATATTCTGAGTGACAGTCTACTTGGTTCCACCAGTGGCTACTGGATAGCCATATCAGTGCTTGATTAAATATACCTCTTTCTGTCAGCCAAATAGCGCGGTTTTCGAACTAAGAATTGCACTCGTGCCTACTGTACAGTTGATGAATTGATTTTCTGTCAAATGAAAAATTTTTTAATTTAATTTTTTTTTTAATTTCCTTTGGTTTTTATTTTTCTTGTTCCTTTGCTGACTTGCTGACTTCCTTAGCATGATAGTATAGTTGGTCAATCCACCTTACTCTATAGAGCAATCGTTGGAATACTGGCTCCGTCGTTACTGTCCTAGCTCTGAATCCCCAAGTCAGATTCCAGCAACTCCGAACTCTGGGCATGATATCTGTTAACTGAAAGGTATAAATTGAAAGCCTTTCCATCTGGTTTCAGGTCATCAGAAATCGAAGTGTATTTGATAGCATCTCCAGTGTCCATCCTTCTATCCGTGGTTCAACCTGTTGCATCCCCTTTTCTTTCTTCTTTCTCTCTTCGCAACCACTTCTAACCTCTATATTACGTCGTTCATCTACGACGACCGGCAATTCCGTCTAAATGGCCAGGGGCAGAGGGTACCGTGCCTCCAGCAGGTTCCAAGAAAGCCTTGACTGGAATCAGAAAGTGCCACCTGCTGCAGAGACACACGTCCATTGTTTAATTAAAGGACAGGCGAGTCAACATCCTGAACTACAAGCAGTGTGCTCCTGGGATGGTAGCCTGACATATGATGAGCTTGACAAATATTCATCACAGCTGGCCTCTCACCTATCAGTATCTCATGGTGTTGGTCCGGAAGTCATTGTTCCTCTCTGCTTTGAAAAGTCTGTCTGGACGATTGTTGGACTGCTCGCAGTATTGAAGGCTGGTGGAGCATTTCTATTGTTGGATGTCTCACAGCCTGTCGGTCGCCTCAAGACGATGGTTCAACAGGCAGGTGCCTCCATTGCTCTGTCATCAACAAAGTGTGTCGACATTTCTGAAGCCCTCGTGGAGGAGACTGTGGTTGTTGATGGAAATACTCTTTCAGCATTGACCAAAGAGCATGCGTACAAGGCAAAAAAGGAATGCCCCTGTGAGGACCTTTCCAATTCAGCATACTTGATTTTCACCTCGGGAAGTACTGGCACCCCAAAGGGGGTTGTAATCGAGCATTCACAACTAGCAACCACGTCAGCAGTCACTGGACGCCTGTTGGGATACGGGCATCACTCACGTGTTTTCCAGTTTGCCTCCTATGCGTTTGACGCCTGCATCACCGACATTTTCGCAACTCTCGCACACGGTGGTACAATTTGCATTCCCTCGGAATGGGAGCGCAACAATGCTATTGTCGAATCTATGAACCGGATGAGGGTCAACAACGCAAAGTTCACTCCCTCTCTGGCTGGGACTATTGCCATCGAAGCCGTTCCCACGTTGAGAACGCTTGTGTTGGGCGGAGAAGCCTGTCCTACTTCCTTCGTCGAGAAGTGGTCTGCAATGTTCCAGTTGATTCTCGTGTATGGGCCTGCGGAATGCTGTGTGATTTGTTTTACAACAGAGGCCAGTCAACACAAAACAGTCCCCGCAGAAATCGGGCGGCCAGTTGGCTCGCGCGCCTGGATTGTGAGGCAAGATAATTCCAATGAGCTTGCCGACGTGGGAGAGGTGGGAGAGCTATTCATCGAGGGCCCTCTTGTCGGTCGGGGGTATTTGAATAAACCCGCGGAAACAAACAACAAATTTATGCGCAGCCCACGATGGATGCCTACAAGCCTTATGAACTCGCAAAGCCGATTCTATCGGACAGGAGACCTCGCCAAATGTCTCGACGATGGAACGGTCGTCTATGTGGGCAGGATCGACAATCAAGTGAAGATAAGAGGGCAGCGCCTGGAGCTCGAGGAGGTCGAGAAAAAGGCGCATGACTGTCTGGTTGCCATACAAGATGTTGAATCCAAACGTATCGTTGTGGAAGCAATCGCCTCATCTAATTTGATTAGCAAACAGTTGGTGGCCTTTGTCCTAAGTACTGGCACCTTTGGCTTCCTGGATTGGGAGACAGAGGAAGATCTGCCCGCCATATGCACCTCGTCCGTTAAACAGCAACAATTCGCGGCAGCCGTGCATAAAATTGAGAGTGCGATGAAGCAAGTGCTGCCAGCCTTTGCTATACCATCTATCTGGATTCCAGTCCGTACTTTACCCTTGAGTGCCTCTCGGAAGGTCGATCGGAAACGCGTCCGCGATATCATTGCGCCTTTGTCAGTCAAACAACTGGTGTCCTTTGCGACTCCCGCCAGTAACTCAGCGCGAAACGAACGCAGGGTGGCGTTGACGGAGACAGAAGCAAAACTCCTCGGTGCATGG